ATAATATAACACACAAATCTAAAACTTTTTATTACTGTTCCACCACACATTCTCCCATCAATCACTATTCCAAAAATTTTTCAACACCCCAAAATGGGGGCCAAACAGGGGCTTAGAATAATGGATTGATGGAGAATGTGGGTTGAAAAAAATGTTATTGATATGATGAAAATTATTATTTTATTGAAAAAGTTGTAATTGAAAATGAGAATGAAAATTTTAATGTGTCTGAAAGGTATAAAAAAAAATCGATTATACTATTTGGACAAACAAGGTGCACATCTTGATTGACACTTTCATATGTGTAAAAAATTTCACAATTGATTGAAAAATATACCATTAAAATCAATATATCAAAATTTGCTTACGTGTGTGTAAATCAATGTGTCAACAGCAATTTTTTCCCCCTTCAATAGCTTCTGAGGTGATGTCTTTTCTTTGGTAGCACAGGGAATAATCCCTGTTCATTTTCTTTGGATAGTGGAACAATTAGATTTGATTTGAGATTAAGCTAAAAGCCATCCAGCGTTTAACCCTTAAGCTAAAAAGTCATCCGGCATTTTTCTTAACCCTTTCTTGAAATTTTCATTTTTAATTACTCGATGCAGTAAGAGGATCTATACTCCTATATTCATTATTTGGTAGGTGGCGTAGCCTGGCCCTACGAATAGATTTAGAGGGTCCAACGGATCAGATCCATGTTTTGTTTGTTGAATTGCGTACCCATGTTATATAGTTTTGCTGATATAAAAATAATATAAGTTGGGTACTTGCGTTGAGAAGTACATTATCTTATAACTTATATTTTGATCATAAATAATTTGTTCACTGTCATGTATAAGAGTTGGTGTTGGTACCTTGTACGGGAATAAATAGTTAAAGGTGACACTAGTACACTTGGAGTGTATTGAACGAGCCACGTGTCGAGTTTAATTCTGTAGCATGACCGTGCGGAGAATTAAATTCCACTTGACTGCTGTGTATTTCATCTAAATTATTTGATAGTTATGTATATCTTTTCGTGATATTAATGGTTTTTTTATTCATCAATGGATGATATCAATTTGATTGGTCAAATATCTCGATGAGTTGGAAACTTGAGAATGAGCAAATTAGAGAATATGAATTCGTATCGGGAACCACCACCCTAAAAAATGGGTTGAGTGACCACTTAAATATTTTTCGTTGAACGATTAAAATCTGATCTCGGTATTTATCAACGACTAAATTTCGACATCTGTGATTTGTTCACAGGACCGTCGAGAAAAAATCGTACTTAAATTAGTGAGAATAATTAGAGAGGCAAACAGTCATTTATGCTCGTACTTAATTATCGAATCTCGGACGATGATGAAATACACATATGACGATCATAGGAAAATATTATAGATTTATTGATTTCTGTAATCTTATAAATTTCGAGAGTTCAGTTTTTTACCTTTAGTGAAAAAACCAAAAACTAATAATGAGATTGTGTGGTCTATGGTCGACTAGATATGATCTAATTATTGGAGTTTGGAAAATATATGTCTGATTAGATCCATGTGGTAGTTCTATAAAGTAATTGAACTTAATTAC